TCAGGCAGGATGGAGGATCAGTCTTTGTAACCTTTGTGGATTTCTGGAGAGCTTTTCATTCGATAAATCATAACAAAATGTGGGTTAAGCTTCTGTCTCTGGCAGTTAGTGCTCGGATGGTCAGGATCTTCAGAAACTTGTATAATAAAGCCTCCTTGAGAGTTAGAACAGAAGAGAGTCTTACGAACGAAGTCGATATCACAGAAGGGGTGCTACAGGATGAAATTTTAAGCTCCTTGTTATATATTTTGTTCATCTCCGAAATTGAGGAGTATTTTCATAGTAAAGATTTATACGGGGTGAGTCTAAATAACAAGGTAGATGTTTTGATGCTTCTGTACGCTGACGACCTGGCGATCATGGGAAGAAACAAGGCAGATACGAGGACCAAACTGAAGGTCCTTCAACAATATTGTGATGAAAATGATCTCAAGGTTAATGAGTCCAAGACCGAGATATTATACTGTCGGAAGGGAGAAAGAGTCCGGAAGGACTTGGTCTTCAAGTTCAAAGGAGTGGATCTGGAAATTGTGAATTCGTACACGTACTTGGGGGTTCTTTTCAGCTCCTCGGGTTTGGGCAAGGGCGCTACCGCTGCAGCTATTGCAAAAGCAAAAACTGCGGGGGGAGCGATTCAAAGTCTAATTTATAGAGCAAAAATTAACAATCCTGAAGTAATAAATAGATTTTTTGACAGTATGGTGTTTTCGGTCGGTTTGTATGCTTGCCCAGTATGCGCACTCAGATAAGTAAACGAGTTGGAAACGGTGCAATCTACTTTTTACAAGAGACTATTGAGCCTCAATAGGTCGACAGCAACTGCCCTGGTATATTTTAAAAACATGTTAGCTTTGTATTGAAAAGGATATAGATCGCTTCAGTATAACTGGGTGGCACAGGTTCTGGGGTTCGCTGAGTCAGTTGAACCCGCGATCTGTGGACGTCTGATTGAAAAATGTAATTACCACGAATGGTCCAGGGCAGGTGACCTGTTACTCGAAAAATTAAAAGAAAAATTGAATTGTGAAAGATTGAATCTAGACTGTACGTGAAGATACACATAAGCAATATCTCTTCCAGCAAGTCCCGTTGGTTTTTAAGAAAATCATCACTCAACACAGATTGGCTAATCGTCACGGAACCACTCTTTTTGTAAATAACAATTCTTATCGTTTTGAGCCGGAAAAGTTCTGTCCTCTATGTGAAGTAGCTGAACTAGATACAGTCGAGCATTTTTTGCTCCGATGCAATGAATTTAACGCTGAGCGCACTTTGTTACAATCTGTCCTGAGTAAACATATTGAAAAAATGTCTGTCGAATCCCTTCTGGAAAGTGAGTTTATACTAGCGCCTAAGAGCAGTATGCACGTGAAGAAGATATATTTTTATGTATTGGAGTGTTGTATGAAGAGAGCTCGAAAAATCGAACAACGTATAATGGACACCTCTTATATAACTAGCGAGAGCACCTTATGATTAGCAAATATTTTTCCCCCTTTGACATATTGTAAAAAAGGATTTTTGTATCTTTATAGACAATAAATTTATCTATCTATCCTGTGATTTGAAGAAGTAAGTGTTTCGGTCATCCATTCGAATGCTTCAAAGCATGAATTCATTTGTATTCTTTCCTGTTTCAGGTTTTTCTATGAGAATTCCTGGATGAGGCTAATGGAAATGGTGGAATTTTTGCCCGGTTCATCCAGTCTCTTGTCTAATGGGGAATGGAAGAACAGTTTTCGACAAAAATTAGTTCTAAAAATGAAAGTTTTTTAAAAAATATCTCGTAATAAATAAATGTTCTTCTTGTGATTGAAAAAAAAACTTTTTGTTGAAAATATACGAGCCTTTTCATAATAAAATTATATGAGTCGAAATTACTCTTATTCAATCGATCGTTGCATTGATTATTACGGTCGATATTCACTGCAAGCTATAAAAACCAAAATACACGTGTTTCTAATTCCTTAGTACTGTTCCGTGTATGCATTCCTTACTCCTCTCTATTGTGCGCCGGCCCTAATGTAATTCAAAATTCGAGCGATTTAGGGCGAAATTTAATTTTCTGACACCAGATGGCGACTAGGATCGATCCTGTCAATAATTCATTCTCATTGAATTACAGTCACTGACTAATGTTTCATTTGTTTACGCGTCTTAAGCAGAATTCTTGGAGATATCAATACAAAATTGTAATTTTTGGTGAGTTCGTGTTGCTCTGGATTTTGTGGAGTATACTGAAAAGTCATTCGTATCATTCACAGGGGATCTCATTGGACGGCGGATCTGATAGGATTTTTGGACGGTTTTTAACCTATTGGGTGTGTGAATATGACTCCGCCCTTTTTTATTTAAATAAAACACATTTGCTTGCTTAGAAAATTGAAGAAAAGTTTATTGAAAGTATGTTCCATCTGCAGCTACAACCTTCGCCCATCTTTCAGGTAATTTACCTATTCCTTTGCTTGAAGAAATCCTGGTCTTTTCAGCTGATCCAATTATCAAGTCAAATTTTGATACTTTCGTATGAAGTGAAGCGTTCTTCCGTTAGATCTGACTGCAGTGTTCGGAATAAGTTGGTAATCCGAAGGAGCTATGTCTGGCGAATATGGCGGGTGGAGTAGCACTTCCCAGTCCTGTCTATCTAAATATCTTTTCACAACTTGGGCGGTATGCGGTTTGGCATCGTCATATTGAAGAATTAATTTATTGTGCCTATTCACCCATTCTGGTCGTTTTTCTTCTATGGCTCGCTTCAAACGCATTAGTTGTCATCGGTAAACTTCTCCATTAATAGTTTGAGAGGGTTCGAACAACTCATAATATACAACACCTCTCTGATCCCACCAAATGCAGAGCATAACCTTGGCACTGTGAATATTTCTTTTTGGCTAGGATGCGCCAGGTTCACCTGGCTTCACATAAGCTTTTTGGCATTTAGGATTCTCATAATATATCCATTTTTCATCTCATGGAACTATTCGATGCAAAAATCCTTTTCTTTCCTGTCTTTGAAGTAGCATTTCACAATTTTTTTTTCGACGTTCCATCTCTCTTTCTTTCAATTCATATGGAAACCAGATACCAACTTTTTGAACCATTCCCATTGCTTTTAAATGCTTTGCAACAGTTGATCGTTCAACATTTAATGTTGCAGCCAATTCGGATTCAGTTTGGCAAGAATCCTCTGCCAATAATGCCTCCAATTCAGCATCTTCAAATGTTTTCGGTGGTTTTCCATGTTCTCTGTTCTTAGTGCCAAAATTATCATTTTGAAATCGTCGAAACCATTCCTTGCAAATTATATTAGATGGAGCATGTAAATCTCCATCTAATATAACTAAGTCTCACCGTAAATCTCCACAAGCAAACGATGAGTTTCCGCTACAATTTTCTTTGCAATATAATAGTGTAATAACACTTCCCGCAAATGATGTTTACTTGGAACGAAAACCGACATTGTCACGGAGGTAAAAACACTTGTTGCTTACATTTCAACCAAATGTCACGTAGTGCGTTTGACAGCTTACATAAAGTACTATCGACTACAAGTGTTGCCATCTATTAGTGGACGTAAGCAATACTAAAAACGACATTCGTTGGGAAAGGGCGGAGTCATATTCACGCACCTAATATTTGTTTGAAAATTCTTTCCCCGTTTTCTTTATTTTCCCGTCTACATTCACCGAAACTTCCTTTGATCACTAGTTTTCCTCTTTCGCCCTTATTTTTCCTGTCGAATCATCTATTTCGTCCTTGTTTTGGTTTCATCCTTATTTTTGCTCATTTTTCTTACTTCCCTCAATTATTTCTATTCATTCCTCTAGTATTATCATTCCTTTCTCCATTTTATTCACCTATATCATTCTATTTTAATCATTAATGATTCTTGTTTCGTTTTCCATTCTTTATCGTTGACTTACAGTAAGCTGCGGATTATAACACCACCAGAACCAGAATTTTTCTAGGTGTGACCCTTGAAAATGCAGCTAACTTCTTATCAGTGTATTATCGATTTTCGTCGAACACTCTTTATCAATCATCCTGTTTCCTGAGAGCTGATCTTCAGCAGCTTATCCAAACTATTTTTTTTCTGAGCTCCTCACAAACGGTTTTTTTATACATCTTCAGCTATTTGCAAGCTGTTCGTGTCGAACGTTTGGCATCACCCTTCATAGTCCAGTCAAAATAGTTTTTTAATGGTCAGTTGACGTTCAGTGCTCGGGGAGGTGTCAATCGATAGATAAAAATTCCATTATTAATATTCTCATTCGTATATGTGCGGAGTTTCCCAGTTAATTAATAATTAATTAAAAACAATCGAATAATTGTGCCAAGCCACTTTCTGTTCGTGATTTCTCCAATGTCACTCATTTAATCAAAAAGAAAAAAATACTACTTTGTAGCTAATAAAATTTGCTATCGAATAGAGTTAGGAACTTATATCGAGAGATGTACGGTTAATTTACGATAAATTTTACAATTTTTTTTGGATAAATTAACGCCAAAGCGTCCGCCATTTAAGTCCCCCGAGTCACGTAATTCTCGCCATGCGCAGACTATTCAAACGTCCGCTCCGTGCATTCATCATCAACTCAGTTTTAACAACAGTGTAATTTTCTTTTTTTTTTTAATTATTTGGACGCGAAATTCTGAGCACAGGGTCACGAGAATCGAAAAGAATATTTCTCAGTTTACAAATGGAAGGCCATACGTATAAAAATTGCGGTTTCTAAAAATTGGAAATGTCTATTAGCATTTAAAAAATGCCTTGAGGGTCATAATTGAAGATTTCAAGCTTCAAAATTGAGTCTTAAATTTATGAGCGTTGAGAGTCAATCATCACAGTGATATCAAGGTCAAGTGGATAAAATTTGAACAAAACAAATATTTAAAAAAAAATAGAGGATTTATTTGTTTAAATTATTATTAACAGAAGGGTTCATCATTATTGTCTAGAAAAAGAACTTTTTAATCGTAAAAAATCTATGTAGTCAATATTATTACAGGCCTTAACTGAATTTATTAATATTGTGAGTAGTTGATTGAAAAATTACAATCACGATCAACAAAATGACTGGGAGGATTAGTAGCATTCAGAGTATTGGCAGCATAGATACATGAAGATCCAAAAGTGCGGGCTTCCCTCAGTCACATAATTCTGGATCCTGGCTTTCTGTAAAATAAGAAAAAAAATAGTTCATTAATTAATAGTCAATCAATTATGGACTTTTCATGAGCAGCATGATTTTGAAAAATATTTACCATTCATCCTTCGTTTTTTGCTTGTGCTCGGTCCACTTTCATCTTCAGCTTCATCGTCAGGATTTTCATCATAAACTATAAATGGGAAAAATTTAGCCAAAATGTTGATGCCTGTGTTGCGGAAACAGATTACTGTTGGTTTTGGTGGCCTCTCCACAAACATAAGTTCACTGCCATACTTGGCAATGAGTCTCTGCTTCTAGGTAGTTTTGGTTGTAGTCCAGCCCTCCATTTTCTCCAGCAAACTATTATAAGTGAATTGACACTCGCCACTCTCTTCCATGTAATGACACAAGCCTTCGAATGCCGCATCTAGACCAGGTAATCTCTGCTTTGGGTCTAAATTATCCTTAGTTTTATACCTAAACTTCTCGTAGCATTCGATGTGGTAGCGGGCTTTTTCCATGAGCAGGTCCTTTCCTTCGATTTTCCTCCTCACCTTCTCGGACCAATCGTCGTTGCGAGCAGCGATTGATTTTATGATGCATTCCTGGGCTTTTGGGGTACATATCTTCCGGCACGGCTTATTTAATGGCTTCCAGGGTTTGTGACACAAAACACAATCGTTTTCGAAAGAGAATGGCGGTTCAGCAGGGACTGGCTGAGGAGCCGCTGATTGTCCTTCATCAGTCACTTTTTTATTCGTTAAATTATATGTCACTCGACACTTTTCATGGACTTTGGTTTCTACCAAGCCTTCTAAACACTTCCAGTTGTCATCTTTCAGTTTACTTCTGGCAATTAAACCAATAATGCCTTTTTGTTTCACTGCACTCACTCGCGTATTGTTGTCCAGCGGATTATTACAAATGAAACAATTCGTTGGATTATTCATTTTTCACACAATTAAATATGTCCTATGTGTTCCCAAATAGTTCGGTGTACTAACTACAAACGACACTGGCCCACTGAACTGTTATTCCGAAATTCCCCTCTGCAGAAAGTCCCGTTGTTAGGGAGTGAAACGACGAGGGTCCAGACAGATGTGGAACACCTGCTCTCCAAAATACTATTGGAAGGGGGCAGGTAGGAAAAAAATCC